GTAAAACGCGGAGAAGATGACGTTCACAACAACAGGAACCATTTTAGTAAACATCTTCTTAATTTTGTGAATAGTGCAAACCCTATCCTTGGTGCCTGTAACCACATTCCATTTCTGTTTTCATTGAGCGTATAATTCTCATAAAGTTGACATCTGCATAAATCTCAGAATCCCTTCTCAAATAGTTAATTAATTCTTAAGTTAAAAAGCAAAGACAGAAAACATTTTTGTGGTTCAAATGTGTAATATTAGTTTTTTGTGCATATCTTACATATCAAAATGTGTCATTTAGCAGCCACATCTTAAAGGATTACTTAGATTCCTCCAGTTAAACTGCGGCAACCAAATGTTGAGGGATTACTTAGATTCCCTTTAGTTGAACTTGGGACTTAGTTAGCAGACGGGATTGGATCGCCGAAACGGGAACGTCGTCAGATCTAACCCTAGCACGCACACAAATTCACATATCGCGGTACAAAGTCCTGCTACACCTGCATGCTAGCGACTAATAAAGTGAACGACCGTTGGCCATAAAGCAATCTTGAGCCCACAACGCCATTAGCTTTCGTCACGGGGGTTCAGCCGACACAACCTTAACAGCGATGAACTAATTTGAACGCCCATAAAACTGGACTAAAACTTTGCGCGTTAGATGGAAGCGATTTAGTTGGGAAAGTGGAATGACCGAAGTCCCAAAGTCCTCTAGATTCTGCATGGCAATTCCAACATAAAGCTAGTATGTTGGTCCTGATCAATAAACTACTGTATATACCTGCCGTATATAACCAGCAAACGACTTCATATCGGCAAAGTACATCTTTGATTATCGGTTATCGGTATTCGGATGCAATCAGTGAATGCACTACGAAACAATCAGACAATGTTTTATAGAATATAGATTGGTACTCTGCATTGCTAATCATTTTACCAACGCTTAGAAAAAGTCCTTATTTAATGAAATCGATGAATTCTACATCACTCGAGTCTGTCCCATTTTGAAAGTAACGCCAGTAGGCTTTGAGCGAAAATCTAGGCAATCTAAAGAATTAATGACAAATCTAAAAAGTATTTTAGAACACAGACGTTTACCTGTTGGCTTTTCGGATAAGAGACATTGAAATCAAAAAATATGTTTACATCTTCTCCAAACTTCACCATTCACAAACATACCAGTTTGTTTTAAGGATCAATGGAGAATTTCCACCCTTTCAGTGCATCGGTGAATTGAAGGACATTAATGTTTTTAAACCGAGAATTTCAAATATTCCTCAGAACTGAGTTTATCATAACTGAACACAGAGAAACCTTCAATAGAAAACAGCTTATATTCTCGGTCTTACTGTAGAATTCACTCTCATTTCTCTTTTCCATTGGGCAACAACGACTACTTAGACGGAGGCTTCATGTCGTTTCCATCATTAGGCGTTCAAAAGTATGCTTCAGTTTTTTCTCTTTTGGTTCCATTTTTCGTTCTGGTCGTTCTCCCACGCGCACACATGCATACATCAGAGATGGGAAAGATAAGAATTCCTAGAACTGCCTCCTTTGCAGAGCATTTAGATTAGGAACCAAGCCCGCGCACTATTAAGGCAAGCCTTGGCTCGAAAACAAACCATTGTTTGACCAACTATAAATCTTTTCAAAATCTTTCCATATGGTTTTTAGTGAAATTCTTCTAATGAAGAAAGTATTTCGATGGGTGAAGCCTTTATAGATTTTCTTTTAAAGATTTCATTATTTAGGTCCACAGGGCTCTTTGTCTTTTTTGAAGAATGAGTTCTGTACAATGCAGGCCTTTGATGGAGATCACATTTTTATATTGAAATCAAGTCAGAATTAAAATTTCAAGGTAGATTTCACAGTGGGTAATCGATATGATGAGTTAGAGGTTTAAACAAGGAAACATACCGATCCACATCTACTATAAAATACAATTATTCTGCACAACTTCCAGCAACGACAACAAACAGCTTTTCACACACTAGCAGGAATCTTTAATCCCGCAAACAAATGAAGAAAATGGTACTTAGAGGCATGAAGCGTGAAAACTATGGGAAAATCAATAGTGCATTCGCCTTTTGTACACATAGTTCCCTTATACAGGTAGTAGTTATATGTTCACTTAGCCGCATTTCCAAGGTGATAAACTGCAGTGGCCAACTTTTATGTTTTTTTCTAAATAGGCACGTCACTGCGACGTTTTCAGTTGCTGAACTGGCGAGTATATAAGATGTACATAGATGTTCGATGTACATGTACGACTGTAATGTACAAAAGTACAAAAGTATGTGTATACATTGCTCCTCGCAAAAGTCAGTACATACTGCTGAAAGTTTTAAGTGGGCGCTGTCGCTGCTCCTGCTCTTTTTTTCTGCTCATGGGCCAAGACTACGAGCTCTATTAGGCCACGAACATGCAGACAATGGAAATTAAAGGGCACTGAAAAAGGCAGATTGTGGACCCGAACTGCTTTCAAAAACCAAACGTGTTATAATAACTAAATGAATAAAGAAAGAAATATAAATAGAAATTAAAGCTTTCCCTTATTTTATCTCGTTAGCCTTATATAAATTTAACAATTTGATAATCAACATTAATTCAAAAGGCTCCCTGATTTCAAATCCAACTGAGCGGGTTTGTTTGGCAAACATAGGAGATTATTTAAAAAGTATGTTTGAAATAATAGATGTCTTGCTGTTCAAATTCTGGTACTAGACCAAAAAATATGTTCTCGCCGAATCATCAGCTCGTTTTGCCGATATCGTCGAGCTCAGCTGGCAACCCAAAGCAATTAAGCCCCTCAAGTTGGCTGTCCCATCGGTAGAACATTTAGAGGGAAAGGGGTTCACTGCCAGCCGACTGTCGCCGGAAAGTAGCAGCAACAACAAAGCGATAGAAGCGACAGCGGCCGTCTGCCTTCTGGCTTTGCAGCACCACCCAAAAAGCATGCTACACGACGAAAATAAAAACGGCACTCCCGCAGACCGGGCCCAAAGTGAATGTCTGAGAGTGCAGGCAACATTTTTTGTAGCCTGTGGCCCTTTGCCGGCATCCTCGCAGTTGTAGTCCACATGCTCAGTCGGTTACCGCATATCTACGCGACAACAGCTCCTCAATTTGTTAAGTTCGATTCGCCTTCGTCTGTGATCTACAATGGTGGCCATTAGTTTGCCTTTGAATTGTAAGTAAAATAACGGCAAACGAGACAAAGAATCTTTGGTGCCTGTAGAACTTAACTTACAGGTCAAACTATGAGTGTGTTACAGCTTCTGGTTTCATGTATTAGCCTCAATCAAAGCATTTCTGTAATAAAATACCAATTTAAAACCAAAGTCTGTTTTCTTCTCAGCCGATAAATTTACGGACAAAAGTGTTGCCTAACTCGACCGACGTTTTCGTCCTCGGATTATTGCAAAATTCAGGATTCGGACTATTTCCAATACATAAAATAAATTATAATTTAAATGCTTAATATAGCAGTAGATTGTGATAGTTCATAACTTTCTTGCCCACATGTTTGATTAACTTGCACAGTCAGAACTGCGAAGGGTTCTCCAATATCGATTATCGATGGTGCACACCATCGATAGCATCAAACCTACTGAATATTGAATGCAATGTGAAAAAAATTCGAATCTTATGGAACTTGAATGCTTTAATTGCTTTCTCACAGGACCAAGTTTTTGAAGCCCAAGCTTAGTTAGATTTTTCTTTTAAATTGATTTGAGTTTGAGTCGGGCGCAAAGAAAGCGAAGTCCATCAATCTGAAATCCATACTTTGAAAAAAAAGTAGTCTCTTATACCACCTTATAGTCACCAAAATGGTGGCATTCATTTATTTTCTGCATTTAAGTGAGTTAGTTCTTAGCTTTAAGGGAAATTGTGTGGAAAGTTTATATAAGTTGTACTTTATATATACTTTCTTTTATTTATAAAAAATTGGTGGCGTGGACTTTTAATTAAAAGCTTGAAACGTCAATGGCTCTTAATTTGTGTTTTGAAGAACTGTACAAAATATGAGCTAAATGCTGAAAAGGGTCTTCTATTCGCTTTCTCTTTCGAATGACTTTGCAAAAATAAATTGAGGCCAACTCGCGTCGAATGTGGATGTGTGTGTGCCCTTGTTTGTGGATGTATTTTACGCTGCTTTACATTTTTATAATGCTGCTTTTAATTCGGGCTTGGATTGCCTGCGTAGAGAGAAGAGAAATCCAACCCAGTTTAAGTTGAATTTCCCATCTCAAAGACACGAAACATCCCCCAACCTGCTTTCGAAATTGGGAGGAGTCTTACTCGAAGATCTATCAATATAGGCTTATATATTTATTATTTATTTATTTATTTTTCTTATTCATAACCTCTTCACCTACTAAGAGGGGTACACTCGATTTTCAAATGCTTGGTTCGATCTCTCTACCTTCTAGCTGATGGCAGTTCCATTTTGCCATGACACTGTCTCATAGCTGCTGGGGAATCACGACTCGATGCTTCAACGGATTTTTTTTAACTTTTTCTTGTACCTAAAGGTATTTTTAAAAAGTTTATAGAGCCCATTAGCACCTGAAAATTACTCAGAAAACCTAGAAAATTGTTTCTTAAATTCTTAAAGATGTAAAATTAAGAATTAGTACTTCTGAAATCATTCCTAATTATGTTGCTGTTTGGTGACATTTTTCTGTTTCCCTTTTTTATGAAAATAAAGAATTAAATGAGGAAAATTTTCAAGATCGAACTTACTCAGGAATTTTAAAGATCGAAAGATGTTTATACACTCGACCTTCTAAATGCTCACTTTCCGCCAGCCGCGAGCCTAACAGAAAATATTGAAGCTTCCATTCGGCAAATTGTGGCATGTCGAATCCGAAAATGTCAAAAGGTTAATTCAGAACGCGGTGTGCCGTTACAACCAAACTTTCTTTGTAAAATCTAAAAGTAAGCACATAATTGGAAAACCAGCTCTTAAACGGGTGACCATAACCTGGTCTACTTAAGGGCCAGTATTTTTATAGTATTTATATATTTTTCGATGCTTAAGAAAATTTATTTTTGAGCACATAATTGAAAAGCATTTAATGCTCAATAGCTGATTTAATATCAGTGAGTTGAGAACTATGGTTCTACCAATATAACTACGCATGGCGACACCGCTGTTAGAATTTTGATTTTTATTTTATTTTTTATTTCAAATCGCGGCCTTCAAATTCATCGTTTATGTCTAACTTTGATCCTTTTCTAAATAGAATTACTAACTTACCTTGCGTTTATTCTCGGTCTCAGTATCCTAGGCCATAAGCTTTAACCAACACCTAATTAACGTCAACAAATCATAATTCTCGTCGTGCAAGTCTGCCCTTTTTTTTCCGGGATTTTTACATTTGGTTTAAGAAACAAGTTGGCAGGTCTGCCTATAAGTTTCATTTCCAATCTGAGTTTGCGGTTCGGTGTGCTTTTACTTGCAGTTTGATGTTAGCTGAAAATCGAGTAAGTTGTATAAAATAACTTAAGTGGCGACAAGGCAACCCATTTGTCTCCTTGTACATAGGCACCTCTAGTTTCGTAAACAGAAATCGCTTGACTTTGACGCTTTTGCTGATTACATGGGCGTAACAGCGTGCTGCCAGAAGTAATCTATTTATCAGTACTCCCCTACAAGCTCCATGGCCAATCTGCAGCGCCAGCCACCGGAGCGCCACTTTAACTTTGTGTGCCGCAATTGCTCGAAAGCCGATTTCTTGGGCCGCCGCTACAGCTGCTGGGTCTGTGCGAACTACCATGTGTGTGGAGCCTGTTTTGATGACATCCGGCTGCCGGAGGCTCTCCAGCACCTGTACTACCATCCACTGAAGGTGCACTACGACCGTGCTGAGTACGAGCTGTACTTTGCCGGGGAGCCGTATTCGGGTGAGGACCAAGTGGTTCAGAGCTACAAATGTGCCCTTTGTCAAGAGAACGGCCTTAGCACCACCGACCTCTACAGACACTTGCTGCAGACGCACCAGAACGAACCGGACCACAGTGCGTACATCTCCATGGTGTACACCCACTATCTGGCGGGCAACACAGTGGGGCCCTTGGCCCTCGCGTACCTTAGAGCGGGAACGCTTGCTTCAATGCAGCCGCACAATTGGTCCTCGAAGTGACAGCACGCGGAAGCAGCGCAGCCGGAATTTTGAAGCAGGCGTCGTTAACCTGGCCCAACTTCGGGAGCAGCTGGAGGCGATGGATTCAAATGCTACTGACTTTCCGCAGCGCTGCTACGAGATCTTACATCGAGCCTATTATCTCCGTGCACAGCAGAGCACCACCAGCATGGAAGAATTGGCGATGGTCGAGAACTACTTAGGCGACATTGAAAGTGGTGTGGCGAACATTATTGCCGAGCGCCAATTGCGTCAAGGCCGTTCATTCAGACCTACAACACTGTCCCGTCGCGGAGCCATTTGGCCTGGCTCTAATGCAGCTTCCGCTGTTGAGATGCGTCTAGGTACGCCATCACGCACGCCCCGAGCGGCGGCACTATTGGTAGTACCACGTAGGCCAATTGTTACTAGGGCTGACGGGGCAGAACCTTTCCAGCGCGTGGTGAACCGCAATTGTACCGCTTCCAGGCCGTCGGTTTCTCCACCTTTTGACCAGGGAAAAACTCTTTCGGTGGACCTTGGGCGTACCGTGGTGGCAGTCAGAGATCGGCCTACCTTGCCGGTGAAAGCGCAGGGCATTCCGCTCACCAAAAAAGGGCTTTCTAGCGGCAACTTGGCTTTCAAAGATAGTCGCTTCCTGTGCGCGAAGTTGGTGAGGGCTAAGTCAAGCAACGCCGAGGAGTGGAACAGCAAGCTGCTAAAAACTAGCTTTATCGAGGCCATATTCTGTTCTATGCTGGCGGACGAGGAGCTAATCCAGTTGCCACGAAGTCTACTGTGGACCCATCTAAAACCAATGCTGCATCAACCATCAGACGAAATGAAACGCTTGTACAAGGACTTCGACGAGTACAAGTCCTGGATTTTGAATCACACCATCCAGAATAGGGGCGGAACTTCTACTTTAACTGCTGTGCGATCCGGCTGGAATTCTATTAGTACGGCTTATTTCGTAGACCCGACCGATATTTTGATTCTGAAGGTTGTTTCGGAATCGGATGGTGAGGAAAGTGGAAGAGGGGAAGATGCGTATGATGTCCCAGACGAAACTGATACTAAAAATGGCAAAGGAGATAAAAAGGAGTAAGATCACGGCTTGAACTCTGAGCTTTCGGAAGCATCGCACGACGAATAGTAAAATTCTGAGCCCAGAATGACCCATAAATTATCATAAATAAATGTTTCTCAGTATTTATAATAAACAGAGGACGATTCCTCGTTGAATCTCGATTTTGTATAGAGTAGTCAGAGCTTTTCCATTTGCCTAGTCGATTTCTGCTACTTACAAAGTTAGTTGATATCGTGCTGTCTAGTAAGCTTTGCGAAATCTACATAAAGGCGTTGAAAATTTTATAAAATTTTATCGTCGCCTCATCGAATTTCGAGTTTGAGATTTCACTTAAAATGGCTCTCAGTTTCTGTGCAACTAGCCTGAAGTGTCTGGGCTGCACGGCCCGGGATGACTTTAGCAGGCGGTACGAGTGCAGCGTGTGCGGGTCGAAAGTCATGTACTGCGGCAACTGCTTCGACAAAGGCCTCAACCGCCCCACACAGAAACACAAGTACTATCACCCCATGAAGATCATCTACGATGGTCGTTTCTTCGACCTAGTCTTTACGGGCAAGATGTCACTAAATGCCAACGCTCCGCAGTGCTTCAAGTGCCCCTTCTGTGACAAGATGGACTTCACCCCCGAGGAGCTCCAGTCGCATGTAATTGAGAATCACGAAGGGCACCCAGATGGGCCAGATTTTCTGGGTATTCTGGAGAGGATGATCCAAGGGGAACTCATGACAACTGCAGAAGAAATAGAAAACAAAATGGGTAAGTGGGAGGTTAGGATCAGTTGACACGAATTTCGCTCTTTCGGCTACATGTGCCAGTCTCCTACCGTGCTGGCAAAGATTTTAACTTGCTTTATCCCAAATGCTTCATTCGTAGGTCGCTTACGAGTGTGTGAGAGTAGACACTCTCTATTAAGGACCTAAATTAGTATGTGCAATCCACATTATCATCTACATCCACATGATTAGATATCCTGACGTTAGTTATGGTTTAATCTTTGGGAGGTTTGTTGGTTTCGACAAATTTTTTAGTCAGTGTCAGTGATGGATCACTGATAGATATGTTATTTCGATTTTATAGGGGTAGTAGTTTTAGTAGAACGCTTTCCGAAAGAGGTCGGTCCCTACCGCATCGGATTAACGTAACAACAATTTGCTTGTATTCAACTACTCCAAACAAAAAGCTGAAAAGAAACTAATTTTCTCAAAACATTTCAAATATACATATGTATTCGATTAGCTTGTAGCTTCCATAGGCACGGTATAAGAGTTTTTTGGTTAAGTATTGCAAGTACACGATACCACGGCTCAGTCATAAACATGGCATGATTGAAACTGAAACAGCATAAAAACTTAAGCTTGTTTCTGGGGCACAGGATTTTTCGATTTCCATTAAGTTAAATCGTGACAGTATTTATTGATGACTTACATCAATTTCAAATCTTCAGGTGCCATAGTTAAGTAAGTGCCACCGCATCCCAAAGTACCATTTTTCAGACAAACTTTCCAGTATTTATACAGCAGGTCGAAAATATTACCCACGGTCATTAAAAAATTGGAAGATTTGAAAGTGGAATTGCTTAGGAAGTGCTTTACAGTAGATGCTAAAGAAAACGTTTTCCGACTGATAAGATGTGGTTGATTTCCGGTTGAGTTAATTAAATTAAAATCTCAAACTCTATGATTTTCGAATTTTAAATGTAGTTTCACAGCCACTAAACCCTTGCAATGCAATTTAGTATTCAAAAAATATAATAACTGCTTTAAATCCGCATAAAAATGTAAATTTTCTTTGTTTTCGTTAAATCTTATTGTCCTGGAATCACAATATTTATATTTAAAACAGAAACATCCTAACTAATATTCAGTTACAAGCTAAATAAACGGACAAGAATCGTGCGAGAGTCAGGCTTGTCATGGCGACGATACGACATTTTTCTGCAAAAATTGGAATCTATATCTGGGCATCTCTTTAAGAATGTCTTTTTGGGGCTTGGGTTGGGTCTCGGTTGAAATACTCGATTCGGGATAATGTTTTAAGGGGAAGTTAAAACATGACGTCATTCTAGGCTGTTAAAGGAAAGCCATGTTTAGGGTTGCCTGAAGTTCACCCTTAACCACAACTATCCATGCACCCCAAATGTACGAATATTGAATTACTATAACTGTATCTACCCGGCTTCTCTCGCCCACAGCCACAGAGATTCGCTGCCAAGAGAAGTCCCGCGGAGGCCTAAGCTATGAGGTCATCCTTGCCGAGCCGGCACCCAATGTGGCCGTCCCCAAGCGGCCGGTCAACCCCCGGCAAGAACGTTAGCGTAGAGGAGATAGAGCAGAAACTAAAGGCGGCAGAGGAACGTCGCATCGTAAGTCTTTAAACATTAAAATCTCCCTCATTTTGCAGTCGGATAGATATATTTTTTTAAAACTATGAAATATACAAGTACTTAGACTAAGGCACTCTCTACACCCCAACTTTGACTATCAGAAACCACAAAGTGTTTTGACCAGCCTGTAAAAGCGGACATAAGATCTTTAACTTGGATTCGATGACGATGTGTGACCCTTGAATGTGTAGATGTTTTATGTGGGGGTTAGAGTGTGGGATAGAGTGGGCGTGGCCCGAGGATGAAGCCACCTTTCTCTGCTTAGGCTTCTTTAGAATCTTCATATGTATGGCCAACTGTCTTTATATTAAAGTTCCTGAGATCTCAGCGCTCACACAACCAGACGGAAGTTCTGTCGCGCATAGTATGTATATATATCCTTGATTACCGCTGGGTTGAAAGGTACTGACAAAAACATTCTCTTCTGGTGTCCAGCAATCTAGTGAGTTTCCAAGTGTATGGGTTGGAGACCTCTAATAGTTTGGAGCTCAAATAAAGATCTGCCCGGGACGGGGCTATGCAGGAAATAATCGGCTTGTAGTTTAAAGGATCCTTGAGTTATCCGTGATCTAAGACACAGCCTACGCTATGTCACAAGCGTTCAGCGTTTATAACAAACAGAGCAGACATCCCCATGATTTATATTGTTTAATTTTTGCAAATGATATTTTTAACAAATTAACAAACATATTTATCCACAGTCTCTAGAAGCAAAGAAGATGGCTGATATTTCGAACAAGCTGGCAAAGGTTGAGGAGGCCACTCGCAAAAAGGACGAAATCACCAATGAGTTTATAACTCAGACGAAGGAGCAGCTGGAGTCGAAAATGGAGCTGCACGTAGAGAAGCGAGAGGCAATCATCAGTGACATGAAGGAGAAGCTAAAGGTTTACTATGGCATTTTAAGTTTGGTATACCCCTAACTAATGATTTTTAATTATCGAAAGATTCATGCGCAAGAGATCGAAAAGACCCGGGAAACTCTTGAGCAGCAGAAGGCCAACGAGCAGAAGGCAATTGAGGAAAAATTGAAGATTGCCCAGTCTTTGCGCGACGAGAATATCAAGAAAATGTTGGATCGCCTTAAGGAGCATGTAAGTGTGTAGGGAGCGGACCTCTCTCTCTCTCTCTTTCGAACAAAATTACTGTATAGTCTGTAGTGAAGGAGATTTGCTGCAGTTATACTCAAACTCAAATTGCCGAAATTTGGTTCATTAAACCACTTTTGGCAAAACTAGAGATAGTATACCTTTTTTTTGTAATCTGAATATATTTACTTTGAAAATGCTTTTGGACCTGCCAAACATTTACCAAATCAGACCATTTTTAAACAGTTATCAACAAGTTGACATGAGCAGTGACGTAAATGGTTTTGTAGCATTTTACACTTTACATGCATATACATACATTACTTTACATAAAGTAGCATATTCATTTTTACCTGAGAGGATTTCTTCTTGCTTATCCTTTCTAAGATTACCATACCAATTAATTTGATGCTAAATGTTGGCATTTAAAATGTAAAATAACTTTGTGTCACGTTTTTTGATCTGCAGAAAATTCGAATTTAATTCTGTTCATTTATTAACTAAAAAAAGGATTGCAAATTTTATAAGATTTATAATTCGTTGCCGAAACGAAACTACACAACTCAGTGTCCTTAAAGGCAAGATGAAAAAGTTCGATTAATAACTTGCGATACTTTTAATCTATATTATTTCCTTTAATTATGAAAAAATTCGTTGAAATATTAGTAATGAACTGTTTAACTTATCCGAACTACTTGAGCCGATCTGTGCTTACGAATCGCTGGCTTCTCAGCTGCTATTCGGAAACAAAATGCAACAAGCTCGGAGCTAACTAAAATTAACTCATCTCTCAGGGCTCTAGAAAGAATTATAAGCAAACAAGTGTTTAATCATTCGTTCATATAATTTTGTGTTTCATTTTCTCTTATATCCTCCCATTTAGAACACAGTCAAAATTGCCGAAATCAAATCGCAGAACGATCAATTGGAATGTCAAAAGCTCGAGGAGAAGGCTCGCATTTATGAAAACAAATTGTTCGCTGCCGAGCAGAACCGCGAAAAGGAATTGCAAAAAAAAATTGAAAAAGTTCAAAAACTTGTACGTTTCTAAAAAAGAAGACCATTTGTCTATTGTTTGAGTGGCACTTGGTTGCAGTGGTTGCATCAGTTGCGCCTCCAGCTGCCTATGCACCTTCGCTAATCTTCAATCGTTTTCTTCTCTTTCAGGAGCGCCGTGCAGAGATAGTGCGCCAAAACAAGGCCCACTCTCAGGACCTAGATGGTCAGCAGAGCCCCATTGCCTCTTCCGGCTAGAGGGGCAGACCTTGCTTCGAGAGCTGTGCTCACTCACCGCAAACCAGGCGACTATAAAAAGAACAGCAACACTGCATAATACACCAACACATATTTAAGCAGGAAAACACTTAAAACTCAAAGAAATTTCTTCAAAATTTTCAAGTATTATGAAAGCAAACGAAAAGGCATGAGGAAAAACTCAAGATACCGCTGAGCGAGTTGAGCCACATAGCAACCAAACATTTACTCAAGAGCTCTACTAATAAGACACTACCACAAAAAGCTACGACAAAGCGAAAAGAAATGAATGCTTACAGCAAATTTATCCAAAAACATTAGTAACGGAAATCTACACTTAAACTTAAACGCCCAGACAGAAGAGCCCTTAAAAATGCGCGTCGTTTCAGTTCTAAATAGTTTAGTTTTGGATCAATTATTTTGAATGTTTTAGTGTTTTGTTGAAGTTTTCCTTAAATTGCTGTGGCATCCGACTGAGGTTTACTCAAAATAATATAAGCACGCTGTATTTTCACCTATTAATGGCTTCTGCGAGTATAATTTTAAAAAGTTTGTTTAATTTAAATAAATATATGAGTTATTAATGTACTAACTTGCAAAAAAATATATATACATGCTGAATATAGTTTGATACTAATGAGTACAGTTTAAGTTTTGCATTTTCTATATATAAAATAAATGTCTAACAGAAAAAATACATACGAAATGCTTATAAAATTCAATAAAAATCAAATATCTTGTAAGTCACACGAAACGCATTTTGGTTTTATTTACAAACAACACGAACACCATAAAAGCAGATATAGACATTAACATAATTAAAAACACTACATATAGGCATACAAAAATGTGTGTAATATTATATGGAAATGAATATTTTGTCTAACGTCGAGTTATTTTTAGAAATGGGTCTAAGAGGAGTGAAGGGGGGTTATAATAAAAAGTATTTAGGGCAAATCAAATGGAATATTTAGGAAAATTTTTTCCAAACCTGCGAGTTTTTTTTAATTTTGCACCAAATGGCGCTTGAAGGATTAGCTTAAATTTAAAATCATATACCGTTATATATGTGTACTCGTGTAAAACTATGGCTTCTACAAACAAATATCAATAACATAAAACTCTTAACAAAAGTGCATTGGCAAAACAACTACACGCACAGACCTCCAAGTTACTCAGACACGAACATTTCCAAGCGATCCCAAGAAAACTAACTTAAAAACAAACAAGCATCAATACAATTGACAAAAATGCTCTGATATTAACTCAATTAATGATATATGAATGTCTAATCAAATGCAAAATGCAGCCGAACAAATCTTTCTAGTATAAACAATCCAATGAGAAAATGGCCATTATTGAGTCAATATTCTCAACACAAACCAAATGTACGATCGCTTACGAACACACTTTTTCTATGTTCACGCGTAAATTAAGTTCATAAAGCCATAAATAAATGACCATATGCGAGCAAATTACTTATAACAATTGTATAATAAAACAGCATAAAACAAATAAGTTACCTTTATTATTGGTTTGGGATTGGGATTAGGATAAGTACAGAACTGCTATCGTCAGTTGAGGCATGCCTTTGTCCTAGGATCTACAAATGAATTACCGAAGAACTTTTCTGCTGATCTCATATTTATTTTAAAATTCACAGAGTAGATTGCTTTACTAAATGGTAAATGGTAGTCGCGATCAATTTATTTCAATTTAAAGTATATCTGTAGAATCGACACCCTTAATTTTTGTAATCCTTAACTGTAATCTTAAATTTCAAGAAAAACAACATTTTAAAAGCACCGAAAATACGTACCATTTTATTTATTCTAAATGTTCCCCTTTTTAGATATCTTTTTATGCTTCCCTATTCTGTAAAAAAGGATAAGAATCCAAAATTTCTGCTCAGATTATCCGTCTAGATGGCGCCACCTGCAAGCTGGCATGAAGCATAGATGGATCTCTTACGAGATAAAAAAAATTAATAACTGCAAACTGTAATATTAAAAAATTATGGTCGATATTGCGATTTAGGCTATTTATGTGTTATTTCCTCTAAATGTTTACTATTATTTTTGTTTTTAATCAAATTTAACATTACAAAATCCTCTAGTATTCCGTTATACAGCCAATTTAATTTATGTATTATTTTTTTTTATACATAGTCAAGGTAGCATTATTAAGTTATCGCTAAAAATAAAATAAAATGCAGAGCCGGCAACCCGATAAGTTCTTGTTAGTAAAGTTTCTTACCATTCTTCAAACTTCACAACCTAAGGCGCTAAACTAATGCTTTTTAAGCTGTAATATATAGGCCCTATTGATTTTTTGCAATAATTAAACCGAATCGAAGACACCAATTACTATTCTGTTTGATAAATTAAATAGATAAAGACTTTTACATATTATTTTTACAGCCACACCTTGTACTTGGTGTTTCCGTAAGTAACAGAGAAGGGTCACACTATTTCTGGCTGATAAATTGTACAGATCCGTGAATCATAATAAATTAAGTAAAAAGTGCTCAGACAAACGATACTGACATCCAGACACAATGGCAGCCACCCTGAAGCCCTATCTGACCGCCGTGCGGCACTCGCTGACGGCAGCGATGTGCCTGCAGGACTTTCCCTCACAGGTAGTGGAGCGGCACAACAAGCCGGAGGTGGAAATCTGCTCCAGTAAGGAGCTGGTGCTCACACCCGTGGTGGTGTCGCGCAACGAGCGTGAGAAGGTCTTGATTGAACCCTCGATCAACTCGGTCCGCGTCAGCATCGCCGTAAAGCAGGCGGACGAGATCGAGCGGATCCTGTGCCACAAGTTCACCAGATTCATGATGCGCCGCGCCGAATCGTTCGTTATTCTACGCCGAAAGCCCATAGAGGGCTACGACATAAGCTTCCTGATCACAAACTTTCACACGGAACAGATGTACAAGCACAAGCTGGTGGACTTCGTAATTAGTTTTATGGAGGAGATCGACAAGGAGATCAGTGAGATGAAGCTTGCGGTCAACGCTAGGGCACGTACCTGTGCTGAGGAGTTCCTTAAACGCTTCTAGGTAAGTGTTTCTTTCTACGATTAGCTTATACTAGTTCCAACTCTAGCTCATAATTCAAACATTTGCAGGTGAATGAACGAAGTCTCGACCGGACACGATGCTTTAGAAATTCCAAATCGATTCAAAAATAAAGACGGCTTTTGTATTATTTACTCAACTATGGCAGTGTTCATTCTGATGCACCTTGGCCGCACCACCACATGATAACTGCGTTTTCGTAGATCACTTCCAGCTGATCGGGGTTCGGATCGTCAGTCGTCTCTTGCTCTGCTATTTTCGAGTCCTTTAAAGTGTCTCTATGGGTATTGCGATCTGTAAAGTGATACTGCCCAGAACTTGTGGCCAGAATTGGTATTACTGGGTTGAGGCCCACTCCGTTGCAGCAGTCAGAGTGCAGGGGCAGCACGGAGGCTTCTCCGAGTTCATTGGAGATTCCAGACATTTACGGCTCCACGCGTGTCACCACTGGCAAGCCAACGGCGGTCAGGCGTGAAGTCGAATTGAACGCGCTGATTGGTGTCCACATGACGCTGGAACTCAACTACCGGTTTCTTGTAGTTTCGCATGTCCCACTGCAAAATTTTGCCACATTTGCGAGCTCCACTGAACAGATTCCACTCTCCGGATCCGTTCTCGCCGTAACGCAGCTGTGTTATGCCGCCCTTGTGCCCTCCCAGGGTAAAGAGTGGACCTAGCCTCTGGCTGCAACGCAGATCAAAGTGCTGTATATAGCCGTGCCAGTTGCCACAGGTCAGAGTGTTGGGGTGTTCGCTGGTCTGGGCAATGCACGATATGGCAAACTTAACGGGGTAATCATCCGATATTCGTCCAGGCCTGTTAAGCAGAAAATAAGTAACCAGGGAGCGTAGAACAGGATCGGGATTACCTGCTGGTGTTGAAGATCTTGATGCACCGCTTATAGCCCGCGTACACCCTCTGGCCGTCGTGAGAGAACGCCAAAGAAATGGCTGCCATGACTTCGTCCACGGCATCGTACCCACTGTAGCTGCAACGCAGTGAACCGTCGAAGGCGTCCCACATGTGAATAGGCTCGTGCTGTCTCGTGGCCAGCCAGCTGGGGAAGATTAAATTGAAGTAAGACCAGCAAAGGTTTCAGACTGTCTACTCACAAGCAGGTCTCCGGTTGCTGGCTATTCATGTGCGGAAACCAGACGCAGTCGTAAACAGTTCCGCCCTCAGGTACGTGTACGGCCGACTGAAGCTTGGTAAGGGGTCGTGTCTCCTGCACCGTTGGCTCTGAGTAGAGATCGGTGGGCAGCTCCATTACGTGCATTCCGTCAAAATGGACGGGTACCAAAAGGCAAGTACCGTCCGGGGACCAGTAGCAGCCCTTCGTGTATTGCTGTGCCTTTGCTGACGAGCTCCAGGTACGTCGCCCAAGCTCAACGATTTTGCTCCCGAAGTACTCGAGAGGAGCAACCCAGGAAGGTTCCTGGTCCCCAGCCCCAACCTGCGATTTGTCTGCGGTTATCTCCAAAGTGTCCTCTATGTCAATGACCCGCTCACTCTCCGTTTCATCCTCCTGCAATGTTCCGTCTCCTTGGTTGGACTCTAATGGCGCAGTTGCATCTAGCGAGGTAGAGCCGTTTACTGGCTGTCTCAATCGCAGCCTTAGGATCTCCGCGTCTGAGAGAGTCACACTGAGTTTGGGCACTGAATGATCCAGGGAGGACGTAACCATTGTGCTGCTGAAACTCACGTTATGATTCAGCAAGGACGCCTCACCGTCACACATGCTCGTGCTCAAGTTGATGGCTTAAGGAGTGGTTATATTAACCTATTTGATGTTTGTATTTAAAAGCGCACTTACAATCTTCCATATTGCTTGTTTTTACCGCTCAAGTCCAGTGGGACCGTTCGAGTGGACAGAAAATATACCTAAATTGTGTGGTACCATTTTCCATGCCAGCAATAATTTTGATCCAGGAATGTTCAAAATATTTTTATATTTTTATTTTTTATCCAAATTTGTGATTTTGAAAATCCCTTTAATGAAATATTTAAAAAACAAAAATATTTCTAGGTAATTTGCTTGAATTTTTAAGAAATAATGCATGAACATTTTTAAAAAAAATATCAGTTTTCAGTTTTTCATTAAATTTTTTAAATATCGTGTTTATATAATTTTAATAATCTTAAAAACGTTAAGTTTTTTAATCATTTGAATTATAGTTGTCAGTTCACAAAAAACACGGAATTTATGAATGGAAGCTTTGAAGTCTCTCCGAAGCTTCATAATAATAATAATTTTGGGGGTTTCGTATTGGATTTTTGTTTATTAATAAAAACAAAATAAGTACAAAATCAGCAGAATAAAAATTATTGTCATCGATGGCCGGATATTATATAATCGAAATGAAGTTGCATATACATATGGAATTTTATAATACGTAGCTGTGAAATTGGGATAAGTGCCTTTGGGACTCTACACAATCTTTTACTAGCAGCGCTATTTCAAAACTGCATAGAATTTTCGTTTATGTTTCCGTTTATTTTATGGGTTTTCTTTGAAAGAAAATCGAAATGGCAGAGCGAATGTGTTTAATTTGTTTAAGTTGATCGATGAAACGTTGCTAAATTTGTGCTATGATATTGATACGAACGAGGAACTCTCGAAGATCTCTAGTGATGAAGGCATTTCATTTATAGACAATACAGGAGGTGGCAATTATCCAAAATCCTGTAAAAAGACCCCACTTACCAATAGGGGTTGAATCAATAAAGATGCCGACTAATATAACATGGCAGCATCAATCCGTTTAGTTGCATGTGAACGAGGTTATAAAGAGGATTAAAATGCCGTTGCAGATTTTCAGTTCCTTCTTCTTTTTAGCGATTTTAAATATGATTGTTAAAAAACCATTCGGTCATAACTGAAAACATCGCTAGTCAGTTCAAATTCAACATTCCATCACTACATTGGGTCTCCAATTTTGATCTACATTCATGTCGATTTGGTTACCGACCTGAATATAAAAAGCTACTGGGGTATAACTGCATTTGGACGCGAAATATACCAAACCGAATTTACGGCAAATAAAAATTGTTTGAGTATCATAATCAAAAATAAAAACAAACTCAAATATGTTAAAAGTGACTTAAAGTCCCTAGGGTGACCTGAGGCACTTATTTACCTTTGGTCACTTTTGAACTTAAAAGCTAGAATTTACCCCAAACAAGAGGAAACGCTATAGTCGAGTGCCGCGACTATAAGATACCCGTTACTGTTTTACACAATTTTAAAATATAAATTTTGCTAGTGGAAATTCACAAGGCGCCACCTATTGTCAGAGGAAGTATGTTGAGTATGCTTATAGTGACGTCACTGCCCATGTGGAGCCTTATAACCTTAATTTCTTCATAAATAGCGAAATAATGTTCCGATTTGAAAAATCTTTTGTAAGTCGATAGATATTAACAAAAATAAGTTACACAAGGTCAAACGAAGGCATTCATAATAATATTATAGACTCCACAGTTTTCCGCGGTTTGTGGGCGTTAGAGTGGGCGTGGCCGGATGCAACTTCGTGGCAAGTTGCAGAGGCATCTCCTAAATACGTGTTCTTAAGCAAAATTGTGTAGCTTTTATAGTTTTCGAGATTTTTGCATTTTTGGTTTTTCGGGTTTGTGGGCGTTCAGTGGGCGTGGCGTGATTGGAAAAAACAATTCGCATTGGGAGCATTATAGAAACATACATGCTTAATCCGAACTTTCTATCTCTTATAGTTACCGAGATATCAGCTTTCTAGAAAATCCGAAAACCTTGTGGGCGTATGGGTGGGTGTGGCCGGATAGTAGTACCACTATAAGATGCGCTGCCATCTAAAGATTATACTTTTGAATTTCAACTTTCTAACTGCAATAGTTCCTGAGATTTCAGCAATTTTAGTTTTTTGCGATTTGTGGGCGTTAGAGTGGGCGTGGCAGGATGCTGTAATAAACTTGCGCTGTCCCGGGACCTCAAGAATCTTCATGCTTAATCTCAGCTTTGTATCTGCTATAGTTCCTGAGATCTCAGCGTTCATACGGACGGACGGACGGACGGACGGACGGACAACGGACATGGCTCAATCGACTTCGCTATTGATCCTGATCAAGAATATATATACTTTATAGGGTCGCAAAAGCTTCCTTCTATCTGTTACATACTTTTCAACGAATCTAGTATACCCTTTTACTCTACGAGTAACGGGTATAAAAAATTATCCAACTTAGTTTTTTTAATTTTTCAGTTGGGTTGATCACTATAAAGGACCTCGAATAAAGTTGGGCAAAGAAAGGTTTAGAATTACAGGGGGAAAGAACTTAATATGTTTTTTCTGACACTGAATTAGAGTAATTGAAGCATTTTAACAGTATTACTGATTTCTGCCATTACCCACTACCCGTACCTCCCCTTATGTAATTATTAGATATTTAACATGCCCTATTTTAACTTCCTTGGTTTTATTTTTATTCTGAGATTACTAAGATGCGAATAAACACGGATACAGGGAGAAGGCCAGACCGACATGGCCAAGCCCTGATATAAAATATTTTGGTCACAGACGACCTGCCGGTCACAAATACTCTTTGAGTAGAAATAAAAAGAGAAAATAAGTTCACTTCACCCCAGATAATGGTTCGCCAAGTACTCTCCAGTCCAACAGAGGTTTTCTTCAAAATGACAAAACTGTGCCCGTCAACCATTTTCGGGCATAAATCCTGAATTTCTAGCTGGCGCTAGACTCGGCATGTTTCTGAAAAAAAGCATCTTTTTGAATTTGCCGTGATCTTCAATCTTTATTTTGACATTATTAAAAGTCGCCGACTTAGCTTAGAGACTGCAGTTGCAGCAATATAAACGGTACCCCTCGATAGAGAAATGCGAGTATTACTACGTGTCCGGAAAGGCCGAGTCTGGAAGCCCCACTCAGAGCTGTTCTCTGCATCCGGTAAAACATAACGGACATGCTCAAAGGAAGAGACACCTCCATTTCGCTGGTATCGAATTCGAGATCATGCCGTTGGCCTAAAACAAGGCGGATGTTCTGCAGGACTTGCTGGTGAGGCGCCCTTCCTTCCATTAAGGTCTGATCTGCCACATGGACCTCGTACCCAACGGTAAGGAAAATATTTTGGCAGCTCAGCAATTGCGTTTCTTCGTTGTAAACAGCTTGAACGGGAGGTGGCATCTCTTGGTTGTTTTCCGGGTAGCGCACCTCCATGGGAATCCATTTGTCCGGCTCCGGTCTGCCCAGTTGGGAGACGAACATCTTGTCAACTTGATCCAGGTGGCTGCAATCGTGGGGCAACAGCTGTCTCCATATTTTGGCTTGCAGGTCCTGACAATATTCGGTATGGTTTTTGTGTACCTGCAGCTGGGGAGCCGCTTGGGTTAAATGACATCGGGTGAGAGAGTCCACGCCGAAGCGGAGTACTTCTTTGTGGTCCAGTTTGCGTTGGCACCTTCTACTTCGAAGTTTCCGCGAGGGTAGAGATAGCCAGTGAAAGCCTTTTGTATTTTGGAAATAGCTAAAAATCGGAGTACTCTCGCTATTGTTCTGTGACAATATTCTGGAGAAGATTAGCGGAGCGCCTTGCAGGTAACCAAGTGGACCTGAAGTGGGCTTGGCCGGCGAATCGTTTAGGGCGATGAACTGAACAGTGTACTGAAGCCAAAGTGGCAGGGTATCATCCGCAGACAGTTTGGCCTCCTCTAGAACCAGCTGGGCCTCTAGAATATTTGTAAAATTGTGGATCAAAATGAAGTCAACTTTGTCCGCTATAATATCCAGTTGAGTCTCGTTCCCTGGCTCTAGGCAATGTAGGGACTTATCTTCTTCTCTCTGGCAGACCCTTACAACCAGTCCTTTCACTTCCTGTTCCTCTAGATCGCGGGGTTTGGGGAGCAGATGATATGTTGAAGTCAGATTTAATATGCCCCATAGGCTCTCCTGGAGCTGCGAAGAGTCCTTCATTTTGCAGATGGTCTTAATTGGCTTCAGATGCCAAATAGACTGCTTCAGCTGACAGCTGGAACTTTCGTAGGCGGCGGGCAGCTCAAAAGTTTCTAGCTGCCTGGTCTCCGGCTGCCACAGTTGTAGGGGCTGGCCTAACTTGTAGTGCAAAACCGATGACCCAGAATGGGCTGAGTCTGTTTCATAAACATCCAAGTAATCACTCCATTTAAAATAATGAGAAGTATCAAAGCTTGCAATCTGCAGATGGGTCTTGGATGGATTTGCGGTGCTGCGAAAAACGCACAGCCATCCGTCGTTGATTTGACAGGTAGGTAAGCCATGAGTGTACTGGAAATCCTCTAATCGGGATTGAAGCTGCGGAAGGAAAGAACTGGGAATACAATTAAAAACCTGCCGGGTTTCGGGAACGCAATCGGTGTCACAGCAGCAGTTAAGGTCGCATGTGTCTAACAGAAGATCGCAGGAGCAGTAAAAATGCCTACTGCCCTCGAACGTCGGCAAAGAAGGAGGCGCTTCAGTGGAATTTAAAGATTGTGTTTTCGCTTGTAAAGTCGGCGATGCTGTTGAAGGGGCAACAGTTGCCTTAGCCTTTTGGTTTTTACGCGATGGAAATGTATTGCCAGGAGTGCTGGTCGCCTCCAGAAACGGGCTGATGGAGCTAAAAGCTTCTGTGCTGGCTGGAAGAGTTGGTTCTGTGGATTCTGTCGTCGTGGGCCGTGATACTGTGGTGTAGTTGTGTGAAATTCCAATCTTTATCGAATATATGCTGTTTGCCGCCAAGCACAGCCAAGTTAGAAGCAATACTCTTTTCATGGCTACTTGAACTCTACACCGTACTCCTCGAACTTTCGAAATATTAGGTTCAGTTCAATAATCACTTTTCCGGAACTCAGAGTTTTCAGCTTATAACTGCGCATGAAAAAAGATAAATATAATTATTTACTAGGGATTCTGCAGATTAAACAAATAATAAATAATAAAAACTGTTATGTTGAACAACGTAAATAAATTTTTGAATAAACTTAGTGTTTTTGATTCAAATAACAAGTGTGCCAGCCACAACAGCTAATCATATAGTTTAAGATAAGTTTAGATTAAAAAAAGATAATTCTAAAATGAGCTATATATTTTTGAGACAAAAAATTAATTTAAAGAGCATTCAAAGTTTGGCACCAATTCCCTATTATCAAATTTTAGACAGGAATCCTATATTAATATTTCGCGTCTACTCTGTTCAGATTTAGCCAACTGCGAAGGTACCCGAAGCCCATCATTCTCTTAACCAATTTTAAAATTATTAACAGTAATTGACGCAGCTTATTAACAGGCGGTGATACCACTTCCCATGTCAGACCAAAAACCTGAACTTCATTAATTCAAAACTTCGGTCTGACTTAAAAAGTTTTTGGTAGTTCAGTAGTTTAAATATTAGTTATAATAATTTATCGTTTTAAAATAGATTGCTTAGCCGCCCAATTTCCTAGCTTTGCTAGTAACCGTGATCAAAAAAATAAGAACCTTAGAGGACGGAAACCTTACTGCATGAGTAACCGGTGTAAAAAAGTCATTGTCGAATTTAATATTGCATAGCTGGATTACAGCATAATTAGTTATAATAATTAAATGGTCAAAAGAAGAAGGTCTCACCGCTCAACGCCCGAGTAGAGTAGATCCGTCTTGCTCAAGGCCGCTCCTCCGCCGCCGAACCGCTCCTGAAGCGACTGCCAGAGGCTGTTGGGAGCTACCTTCCAGGTGCTTATCTCAAGTCGATGGAAACCGGGAGTGGATGGTAGGTGTACGAATCCGTAGCCGACGGGCCAGGACTGCTGCAGGACGTTTACCGCATACACCTCCAGCAGCAAGCGCGGCCAGCCCTGAATGGAGGCAGCGCTTAGGTGGATGTCCAGGGGTTGGGCAAAGTCGGAGCAGTTCTGTAGTCGGTGAGATGCTACGTGGCTCTGACCCTGCACCTCGCCCTGAACTAGGCGCCAAGCGTGCCCTTTAAAAAAGAATCGAGCTGATTAACTGGGCAGACAGTGTCAGTAACAGTGTTAGACTTACCGCTCTGCAGACTCCACTTACAGAACAGGTGCGGTTCGGCAAAGTCAACTGCTTTAAGTATTTGTCCGATTACGTGCACCTCAGCCATAAATTAAATTACACTCCGTTCGAAAATAGTCGGATTGTCCGTCCTCAGTTCTCGGTGTGCCTACAGTATTTGGTTCGTTGTTTTGGCAGTTGACCGTTGTCATAGAGACCACTTAACAGGGCGGGTGATGCCAACTCAGGCGGAAAGGCGCCGGAACTGGTTCGTTTTTGAAAAAGTGGAACCATCCCGTGGAGAGAGAGCGCTTAATATACTAATTTGAAAGTTTGTAACTTGAAGAGGAAGCGTTTACATTGCATCAAGAAATTTAAATTAAAATTTACCTTCCTACGGATTCCGATTAGAAACATATTTTTTACGGAGAAAACATTTCCTATAACTTGTCATATGATATTAATATTGTATATTATTATATAATATACCCGTCTACTCGATGTCTTAATAGAAAATAGGGATTACTTTCCTGATGGTACTTTAAAATTAAAAAGTGTGAAAATATTGCAGTTTTGGTTTTTATTTGAATTTATTTTGAAAGAATGAATTAGTTCACCTTAAAGAAAAGCGGGGAATTAAGACTTAGGTATTCGGTAGGGGTATATCATAATACCAGACCGGCTTTACGTTGATGTATGTAAATCTAGGCATCCCATGATTTTGAAAATGTCGCATTGAATCGATTTCTCAATCGATACGTTCAGTAATAATCGCCTAATTAAATATAAACATAGAATATAGTACTCTTAAAAATAGTATTATATTTTAATTGAGAACAGCGGTTTAAGATGCTGGAAAATAGATAATGATTAAGTGGCATATTGTGGAGAGAATAAGTAACTCTATAAAGGCCATTACAATACATTGTAGACTGCTTGTAGTTCTCTATAGAATAAGCATGGCTGACTAACGTCAAAATACGTCAGTATTTGGAAAGAGATATTAATTGATATAATAGGGAGATAGAAGGAAAAACTTAGCCAGAATGTGATATTAAGTAGGAGAATTATTGATCCTCTTATGTTTAAAAAATAACGTATATTACTTGTGCCCGTTGGCGAATAGTCGAACTGTTGTTTAAGTAAGAAAGAGCAAACAGTTTTATTTTCTCCAATAATACATTTACGAATGATGATTACGGATAGTTCTGAAAAGCGCTTTAAAAAATAGAAAATGTTCCGTAATACAATATTTTCGTTTTTTCTCGTTAGAGGACCTTATCCGCCTCTGTCTGACAGGAAGCCCAATCGAGCAAGAGAGCATTGTTTTTTATATAAATATACATATATTTTCATTGAATGTCACAATATTACAATCTCCCAAAATTGATCGTTCCTGAATATGATATACATCCAATGATTCTTTGATTTTCTCAATACATTACCGCTGTATTTTAACACCGCACTGGCGTGTGGGTTGGAAAATCGTACTTGTGGTACCATTTATAATGGCGACTGCCCCCAGAAGGAAAAACGACCAAGGCGGAGGTGAGTACGGCTTCAGTGCTGTCAGTAGTAGTACTAGCTAACCAAACTCCCATCCGTTTTCGTTAGTCATTGGTGCTAGCTCCTCGCAGGACCTCGTCACCGACCAGAACTCCGGTCGCCGCCAAGAGCAGAAGGTCTACACCTTCAGTGACCGCCCCCCGCAGCCGAAGCCGCCGGGACAAGCAGCAGTCCAGGCAAAGACCGATGACAAGTCCAAGCCTCAAAAAACCATCCTTGAGGAGCACGGCATCATACTCGGCAAAGTAATTGGTACAGGAAACTATGCCAAGGTAAAGATTGGGTTTTCGGAGGAGTACGGTAAACGGGTTGCTGTCAAAATCATCTCAAAGGTAAAGGCTCCCTCCGAGTATACTCAGAAGTTTCTGCCTCGAGAGATCGAGGCCGTAAAGGGATTGCATCATGAAAATTTAATAACCTTCTACCAGAGCATCGAGACCAGCCATAGGTAAGACTTCCCTCCATCATCAGAAATTCAGTTACTTTCGTTTCTAATGCTGATCATCCGACCATGGTGCAGGGTGTACCTGATTATGCAGCTGGCTGAGAATGGAACACTTCTAGATTATGTTCGTGAGCGGAAGTTCCTGGATGAGCCGCAGTCGCGGACTCTTTTTAAGCAGCTGGTGAGTGCTGTGGAGTACATCCATAGCAAGGGAGTGGTGCACCGGGACATAAAGTGTGAAAATCTGCTGCTGGATGAAAACTGGAACTTGAAGCTCATCGACTTCGGGTTCGCGCGCAAGGATACTCGAACCTCGGATAACCAAGTAATTCTCTCGAAAACCTTTTGCGGCAGCTACGCCTACGCCAGTCCAGAGATTCTGAAGGGTGAGTTTCCAATGTTAACCTGTTTACACAATAACATCTTCTTGGATTAATCCAGGCGTGGCTTACGACCCGTTTATGTCTGACATCTGGGCCTGCGGCGTTGTATGCTACGCTATGGTCTTTGGGCGCCTTCCCTATGACGGCTCAAATGTCCACATACTTCTCAAGCGCATCAATCAATCGCTGGTATTCCCAAAATCCCCGTCAGCATCAAGCGAGTGCAAGCACATGATCATGCACATTCTGGCGCCCGTTAAGATCCGGTACAATATTCCGCAGGTCAAGGAGGACCCTTGGTATTCGCTTAAGTAAATATTTGAAACTGGAGGGTTTATGATTCATTGTAAACGTTAAACTGAGTAGCTGTACTATCACTCAAATTAATCAATTGCTTTTCAATTTGAGTAAATGAATGAACAAAATGGTACTTTCTTCATGCTTATAAAATTTTTGTTATATCAAAATGATATTAATATAAATAAATCCGATAATGAGACATTTTCACATCTTTAAATAATATAATATATATATTTGTAAACTGGTACATGCGTATATATTGATAATAAACAAAAGCCCAGTCGGTCTTTCTTTCCGTTTATACGCGAACTTTTTCAAAAATCGGCTACCTATCGGATAGGGCAAGCCAAGCTTGTAGCTGCTACGGAAATGACAGAAACTGAATGATAACCTCGATGTTTTTGATCATTTAAGCATATTCGCCCATCGCTAAAAATAAAAGCACCTCATTTAAAAGGTAATATAGTTTCCCGCAATACAAGTCATGGCCGAAACGGTTCAAGCTTTTTAAATGTTTTTGGTTGTTTCTTTAAAATCAAATTTCTCCAAGCATACGCACATGGTACGATATTTATTTGTTAAATATTTTTATTATTTATTATTTATTTTTATACTACGTCACATCATGACTTTACCGCTGGCATGTTAGAAGTCGTATTGGGAATTCTTTAGGTATTTATCTCGATCTGTGCTTCCCCTCTGATACGGACGCCGCATCTAAGCTTCTTCCGGGGTCCCTCAGGGGAGCCATCTTGGCTTATTACTTTTTACATTATTCATTAATGTTCTTCCTTTGCTTGTTAATGACTCCCTAGTACTTATGCAGATGATGTCTAACAGTCTCCAATATACCGATGCCTTCTACCAGGTGAAATGGCAATCTGACCTTAACAATTTTCAGAGCTGATGCACTGCAAACTTATTAAATCTTAATGGCTCCAAGTTCAAAGCAATGACACTCTGTCGCCTAAGACATGAAGCTTTGGAAAGAATTAATGCAGTTGAAGACCTTGGCATCTTACTCGATCTAAATCTTAAATTTTCCGACCATATTTCCTTTATAGTTAATAAAGCTAGAGTAATGGTTGGATTCATTAAAAGGTGGTCAAAGGAATTTAACGACCCCTATGTTACCAAAAAACTTTTCATTTCTTTAGTTCGTCCGATTCTGGAATATGGATCATGTATCTGGAACCTCTGTATCCAGATTCCTCTATCCTTACAGCATTGTAGTTCGAACTGTGCCCAACATGAACCCTTTCGGGTACTATGTTCGAACTACAATAATCTTTATAACATTACTTCTAACTCTTCTCCTAACACTTTAAGTGTTTCGATAGTAATCCATTTAGCATAAAACTAACTTTTCCTTGTATCTTTACTAATCCATTCGGATCTAACCCGCGTGTTCCGAGCCGTACGTGAGACGGCTGCGCCCCTCGGTCGATTGGCACGTCAAGCAACGAGAGTCTGGCGAAACAAAAATAAAGATTGAACCTATCTTTAATTAACGAATAACGATTAAAATAAAAAATAAATAAAGCTAGTAAAACTACTATTGAAAGTGCATTTCCTGAGTTGGAAAGTTTTCTTGAAACTGGATGCTGCTGGCATCCTTTGGTGCACGCATGCTAATATCCCGCAATCGCCCGGATTTCACAATGTCCTCGCAGTCCTGTTCGGGCCGATGGTAGGTACTCGCTGCTCGGGTTTGTTTCTTGTAATTCTGTTCAGCAACGTTAAAATTGCTGGTTGCATTTGCCACCGCAGCTGCGTCGCCTGCCAGCGGAAATGCCGTTGCAATGGGCACAAAAATGGGAGGACTCAGGACCTTTCCCACCACCCACTGCCTACTGCTGGGTCGCCAGTTGTGTCATACGCAAAACTGACAAAACAGCAAAAGTGACACCTGAAATATGCGACGTTGGGAGAAATTCACGAGGGTCAAACGAGCAGGTTGCCGACGGGACCCGCTCTTTCCCGAAAGCCAAAGCAAGCTCAAAGCTAAAAGCTCGTCGTCATGTGGTTATTAGAGGTGCTCGCCTGTTCAAGACTCCCTGCAAATGTCGAGGCATTAGATCTTTTATGCCGCCGATCTGTGCAGACACAGACAGAGTTGTTTTCCAGGAGGTCGGACGAAGACAGTCCCTTTGTAGTCCTGACCAGCATATCGCTTGGTGGGTGCTCTAACAGAAGCCATGAGTAAAGTCATATTGAGTTACTGCGCTGTTGGTGGCTTTGGATTTCTCAAAAAAAATTTTAACCCTAATATCACATATAAATAGGGGCTACGAAAATGTATCTGTACGCATATATGTCATTTTTTCGGACATGACAATAGCACTAGCAATAGAATGAAGTACTTTTATTTTTAATTCGAATCCTTTACAGTAACTTAATATTCTATAAAGTTGATTTTTTGGTTTTTTAAGGTCCAAATGAAAGCAAGAAACTATAGTATCTGAATCAGCTGCAAACGATAGGTTTTGTTTCGTCAGTTTAACATTGCAATCGAGCGATGAAGAAAATCGGCTCGAAACTTCCCTCGACTCTTCGTGCTCTTTTATCCGTTTCCTCCCGCCTCTTTACATTTATTGCCGTGTTTGTGCATAATAAGCAAAGTCCATTTTTGCGGTCAGCGCTGGATTTCCTCCCTTTTCTGTTGACCCCCAGCATGTGAATGAAATGGTCATTTGCGGTAATGCCACCAGCTACCTTTTATCGTTGGCTCTGTTTCTGATTTTCCCCTCGAGTCGTTCATCCTGTCATTAACATGACTTTTTCGGATGTCAAAAACTACAGCACGAGTTACCACGCTCATGAGTAACTATTGCTACCATTTTTCCCAGCCAAGTATCTATAATTGTGTACATTTCCCATAAATTAAACATACACTCCTAAGCAAAGTTAAGGGGTCTGCTTTGAAAAAAATCAATACAATAAATAGTTGTTGTCCGTAATGTCAAGATTAATATAGATATGGTTGTATATTTGTCTATAATTTATAAATTAAATACTACTAACTACTAACTTCTACTTCTAACTTGACGGACCGATCACTGACATAATTCACTGAGAAATGCATGTCCCAAACTACAAACGCACTTGCATCATCGATCATATCCATATTCTACGTACTTGAACGACCTGCAGGCGCATTAATTTATGGCAAAAACGCATGTAAATTACCTCGCGGCGATATTTTCCATACATTCCGCTACGCACACTTCTTCCCAGCTTGCGTCCGCATGAAATCTGGCCCGCAGATAAGTCACTTGCCTCTGAAAAGTATGCAATGGTATTTTCCCCAAATACAAGGTCTGGTGGCAGACGAAACGGCATTTACATTTAATAAATTCAACGGCAAGCGCGCAAATAATTCATAAATTTAACCCAAAAAACGAAAAAATGGCAGAAGGAAAACAAATTTAAAAAATCCACTGACCGTAAAGCGCGGAAAGAGGGATATCCACACATTTCCGTTCTCTGTTACTTCTTCCCTCTCCCACGCTCCGGTGGATGTGGCAAAAGAAAAAAATGGCAGCATGCGTGCACAAAATATTTGCACATTTTTAACTGAATATTAATTTATGTTATTTTCTGTTGCTCCGTTTTTTTTTAAGTTTATTTTCTGAGCCGTGGGCGCCGCAACTGCCAAAATGGAATTTATTACACTTTCGGTCTGGAAAGGGAAGCTGCCACTTTTCATTTATTATTATACAGCGGGCTACAGAGAGTTGAATGATAGTTTGACATTTCACAAAATATGAGTGCCGTGCGATCAATCCGAGCCAAGACACAAGAGTGCTCCATCCGGGATCCCGGCCTTGTTTTTTGTAAAAGAGCTCACAGACTGAACATAAACAAGAAGGAGCTCAGTGAACGAGTTCACGGACTATAACAAGCTGGACAATTTTAGGTTATTATGCCCCATGTAAGCAATGACGTCATCAACAATGTGTTAAGAAAAATGCCATATATGGTCCTGTCTCTATACAAGAAAGAGAAAAGTCTCCATTTTCTATGAAAGCTTATAGTCACAGTCAAGGCTTTCTTGGTCTGTTTTTGTCTGACTCCTTTTTGGAACTCTTCTCTGCTACCTCTGCACTTTTACCATATTTTATGCAATGACAAAAGCTTTGGCCTCTGTACTGTTGGTAGTTTATAAATCATTTAAGATAAGCTTTTGCACAACGTGCAACACCTGATGTCATTTTAAAAGGATGCCGACATCAAGTCCGACCACCCGCCTGCCATTCAGCCTCCACTCTCTCTCCACTCGTGGTTAAAAATTACCCACAACCTCTAAACGGGCAGAAAAAACAGAAACAGTATATTGCCATGACTTGAAGACTCTTGTTTATTTGCACGATAGATTAAGTAACCAACCTTCACTATTTCACATGAAATCTGATTAGTATTATTTAGATAATGATTTTATATAGTTAATGAAGATTAAGAACGGTTAAGTTAGGGAATTTTTTCATTTGTGTGAAAATATGGAAAAACGTTCAAAGTAATAAGAAACAAATTTGAATTCAAAAGAATCCATTAGGGATAGGTATTGGCATATCTCAAATTCAGAAAGAAACCTAAATCGTTACTCATTTGGTGAAAATATCAAAATTAACATTATACTAACCATTTCTTTATAATAATCTAATAACAAATACTAACCATTTCTTTATAATAATCTTTGAAGCTTATTATTGCATCTAAGGGAATGCAAATCCCACTCAAACTGCAGCAAACTGACTTGATATATTATTGATGTACCAAACACTTTTGAAGCCCAATCATTATTTCAAAATGTATCAGCTAATTGAACTTGTAAGACCTCACATGGGAAGTGAAGTTACATTCAGTCACCATGCCTTATATGGCTCTAGTATCAGGTGGCGCCAGCAATATTGTACTTGTATAATATATCAAAATACAAGAATAAAGAATAAAGGCTATCTTATAGTTGTGGCACTATGCTTAAGCACTCCCGTTAAGCTTAAAAATGAAATTTAAGATTTATTGATTGCAGATTAATCAAGCAGACTTGTTTTCGGCAAATGTACACCAGCACAACATAAAAGCTACAAACCCAAAAGATTCTTGAAAAATTGAAGAGGAGGCACCTCCATCTGCCACATAAGCAGAAACACAGCCCAACACTGAACTATTAAACTGATATTGTTTCGTTGAAA